CTGAGGTACATTAGTTAAAGCATGAATTAAATGATCAGCAGTCACAGGATAAACGCAAACAGGCAATAACAAAGAAATTAATGCACACATCCCTGTTACCTTCCTAGGTAATCTATTAAAAGTTTTGTCACCACTGCACCACCACCAGACATCTGCACGAAAAGACAAGGTTAAATTCATTGTTCACAGAGAGAACAGTCCGATGTTAAAACATCATTTGTCATATATCAAGTTTAATCTCTGTAGTTTACTGATGTCATACTTGCCCAGGAGACTAAAAAAATGATAATAGAACTAGGTGGAAAACACACCTGAATACCCATCCTCATTCTGTAAACAGTGCTACAAGAAATACATTTTCATTTATGACATGAATTGTTCCCAGATGACAACACAAAATTAAAACAAAAAGATATTCGCTTGTTATTTTCATTAATGTGCAAGTCCGTCTGCTCCTAAAGACACTACAGGGTTGTGGACAAACTTCACCAGTTTTGAGACGGAAAAACTATTTGGTTTAACCCCCTTTGTAACCTGGACTTTCCCCTGTAGGTCGGTGAGCGTCCCAAGCTTCCCAATTACTTTTGAAATTAAATTACTTTTTGCAGTGTGTTAAATGTATCCAAGTTGGCTTTTCCGCTGCATCTGGGTTTTTAGTGAAAAGTTCAATCCATTTAGAAAAGCATCAATTATTACTAAACAATACTTTTGTCCTTCACTTTTATTCAATTCTATGAAGTCCATGTGCATTACTTGAAATGGATATTGCAGAGTAGGAAATTTTCCTCTACGTGGTCTTAGATTGCCCTGAGAGTTATGTGTAGCACATATCAAACAGGCCCTACATGTCTCTATAATAGTGTTGTATGATAACTTCTAAATGTACTGATTTCCTGAGCAATCTAGCTACCTTATCCTTTTGCAGTCGTTGTGACTTCCTCTGAAACATCCTGTGACTTTAAAAAGTCATATCTCATCCATCCTGTGACTATTACACCACAATAACTAATGAATAATGTCTAATAAAACATAACATTGCAAAAAATCTATTATGAACATGAGAATAGGTTGAATGATATTACTGAAAAACATTTCTCGATACAAGCATATTTTATTTGTATTTTATATCTGAAATACTGCCAAACTGGTGATGTGACCTTTCCCATTTTATCCACCGCTTTCACACCATAATGTTTTTTATAAACATTTATGAGGCACAGTGGTGAAACATTAAAGTTACTCAACAGCTTGTTGCTAGTTCACCAGTGAGTTAAATGGTGCCATCAACCTAGATGAGCCAGCCTGAAGAGGTTGAGAATAGGCCTGTCACGATAACAAATTTTGCTGGGCGATATATTGTCTCAAAAATTATTGCGATGAACAATATTGTTTGAAGACTTTTTTACAGTGATTTAATGGAAATGATGTAATAATGCATGTGACTCCCTGCCAAAGATAAATACTTTATTTTCAAAAGAACACTTAACACTGGAAATGGTTAACAAAATAAAACCATAAATAGAAATAAATGGACTTTCAGTCTCTGTTAACAAAAAAAGCACTTGAATAAAAACTAAAGAGAAGATAAAACCACAGTGGAAATAAAAACTACAAAAGAGTACAGATTATGAAGTCTGTGTATTATTAGATTTAAATAAAGATGGGCAAAACTGCCATTTTATAAACAAAAAGTGCAAAGGAACAAAAGCACATTCTTAAATAAGACCGATGCCTGAACAATCTTTAAGTAGATCTGTAGCTACTTTAGTCAGACAGATTCCGAGCAAGAAATACTAACATGTTGAGTTTGTGTGGCTTAAGGCAGGATCTCTCAGGAGTAGCAATGTTTCCAGCTGTGCTAAACATTTTCTCTGAACTGGTGCTTGTTGCACAAATACACATGTATTTCTTAGCCAAGTTTGCCATCAAAGGATATCTTCTTTGATTGTCACACCACCACATCAAAGGGATCACAAGAGGCATCAATAGCATCTTCTTGAAGGAACTTTGTCAGTTCTGCATCAGCCTGCTCTCTTTTTGAGTACATAGCCTGTGTCTGAACTGTGAGTTGAGCTCTTCTGTTTTGAAGAAGGTCACTTAGCCTCTTCTTTTTGGTGGGTGGGGCAGCTGTAGATTCATCTTTGTTTCCTCCAGCAGCTTGGCTGGAACCCTCACCACTTACACCTTTTTCACTTACTTCTGGTCCTTTTAAGTCCAGTAGCTCTTGCACCAGCTGATGTTTGATGTCAACCAATGACCCTGCCTGTTCCATGCTGCCACGGTACCTTGGATCCAAGATGGTGGCCTTTGTCAGGAGGTTTTGGATGGCAGGTGAGGTGTATTTTCCAGTCAGTATCGTGGATATGTTTTTTTTAATACTGGCAGTCAGTGTGCTGTCATCAGGGCCTGGAGAGAGAAGGTCGCCTTTAATCAGTTCTAGCACAGGCTTAACAGAGGACACTGTGACGTATCTTTCTCCTGAAAGGACATCTGTAAAGTCAGCCAGTGGTTTAATAGCTGCGTTGATGGACTCTAACACCGAAACATCCTGCCAGGTTGGGTTGAGATGGCAGTGCTTTCTGTCTTGAACCAGGACTCGTCTAATGGCTGGGAGTTGCTCCAACACCCTCTCCATCATCTTCTGTTTAGTGCCCCATCGTGTGACAACATCCTGTGGAATATTGAAAATGTTTTTAGTAGAAAAATACATATAATTATTATGTCACTCATTTAGGGCCAAACTTCACCAGTGACAAGTAAAATATTATTCCCCTTATGATGAAAAGTAGAAATAACACCAAAATGGCTCTAGCAAAAAATATTATTACTATATGAGAACTATTTTTTATTAGTTAATGAATTTCAACTTCTTTAAAGAAATGCTACCAATTCTCCTTAATAATTTGTGTTGCTGTATGTAAAATTATTGCCAGACAACTGTCTTAATTAGATTCTACAGGTCTACATGCTACAAAGAAAAATAAACATGGCTCTGAATATTTTGAGTTACAAATGAATAAATAAATGACTTTAAAAAACCACTCACCAGAATGAGATTGTGCTGATGGAGATTAGCTTCATTCTGTGCCTTCCTCAGGTCTCTCTTTTTAAGGAAGCTCAGGTTGAAAGTGTTGACCAAGCTTTTACAGAGTCCTATGGCACGTGCTGTCCGTTCTTTGTCACTGTCTAGACCATGGGAAACAGCAAGGTGGAGGTTGTGGCCAAAGCAGTTGAGCCATGGCCAGCCAAGATTTCTTATTGCAGTGACAATGTTAGCACCATTGTCTGTTGTAATGCAGACCAGTTTGTCTTCATCCAGTCCCCAGTCTGCTAAAGCAGATTTCAGGTTTTCTTCCAGGATGTCAACAGTATGGTTATCTGGGACATATCTGGTGTCTAAACATTTAGAGTGCAGGTCCAGTCAGCAGCTATATAGTGAATGGTCAAGCTCATATAAGGGGTCATATTTGAACTTGACCACATATCTGACGTAGCAGAGTAAAATGAAATGTCTTTTATCTCCTTCAGTACGTCGTCTTTAATACTGTTGTACAGTTGTGGAATTGCCGTTTGTGATATGTATGTTTTTCTGGGGATTTCGTAATGTCTATCAAATGTTTGCAACATTTTTCGAAATGTTGGCTTTTCAACTATATTAAATGGGAGCATCTCTTTAGCAATTAATCGAACTATGCTGTCTGTGAGCTCGTTCCACTTTGCGCCGTCCTTTTTGTACGCTATTTCTCGATTAATTGCTTCAAAGACGGTGGACTGTCGTGAACTTAAAGACGGACACGGGCCACCGGTTGTATTTTTTGTCCTGTTAAGAATTAAAAAGAGGAATAACTTGATTTAGCTCGTTAATTAATTCTTTGTCCCGAATTCCTGTGTCTGTGTAAGTGTGCAGAGAGAAAAGAGCAATCATACGACGTCAGACTTCAGATATTCAGAGTTTTATCCAGAGAAATTCAATGCAGTTCAGAATGTTACAACAAGCATCTCACCCTAGATTATCCAAAAGTCCAAGACATGACAAAACCGAGACAAAGAACTGAGTAAAAAGACAAAACAGAAGATGCATCCCCCGGGAAACTCTCACTCAGCACAAAGAGATTCCAACTTCTGCTGTGAAACAAACCATTTTTTATAGAATGCGTATTCTCCTCATTTAAATATATGCATTAGGAGGTGTGTTCTTTCCTTTGTGTGGGCTGTCTTAATGTTAATTTTATTACCTCCTGCTAAAGAGCCCCAAAAGCAGATATACGGAAAACCCTTCTCGTACCAGCCGCTGTCCAGTTTGATATATGATTGCAGCTGCAGTGTTATCTCTGCCTCAAAATGTTTCCACAAGAAAGTAGTTTGTATTTTTAACCAAGTTTGCACAAAATGTAATGCTAAATAATGACTATAAGTTTGGATCTAATAAGTAACTAATTAAAAACATGCTTAAAGAAATATAGTTAATTCTAATATAGATAAAATTATTTATAAAAAGTTTTAAGATCCTAGTGAACTTTTGAACCATGCTCAGGAATTTGTTAATTGCCTGGCAGACAGGCTCCCTATCTAAAGAGATCCAAGGTGTCTAGGCCTGTTTTCTGTCTACTCCTCTGCGTTCAGAGAGTCACCAGCTGTCCCAGTTTGGATCTGTATCTAAGTTTAACTTATGTACTATTGTGCTACTTTAAAATTCTTATTCCAACAGTCCCCAGCCTTAAAAACTTTGCTGGATGGTTGTGCTTTAGGTGCACGTGCAAGTTGGTTGTATTGTTGCTCTTAGCTCTAAATGGTAAAGTGTAGAGCTTAGGTCTGAAAGTTCTGATTAAATTTTTCCCCTAAAATATTTCAATGGTTGAACAATTCTTAAAATGAAATTCCCATCTTTATAAAAGAGTCAAGTGCATGAACATCATCAGAATGATATTAGTTTTGATCTCAATTATTTTCATTTAAACAGATAATATAATAATTGGATTTTCACAAGAGTTGCAACTTACCTCTGTTTAGGTTTAGGTTCAGGTGAAAGGAACCTCCTCTGTCTCTTGTAGGTATCCTGAAAGTTGAGTAAAGTTGAGGAGTTAAAATTTTCAACAGGGCCTGCCCATTTTGGGGGATTTTTAAGTTTCTTGTTTTTCAATTTTTCTTATTTTAAATTGCTTTTGTAAATATTGTCAATGTAAAGCTGCAGATGTCCAGCATTAGCATAAGTGTACATGAAAATGCTACGAAAACAGTTTGAAAACTGATGCATATTGTACTTCCATATTTTACTCTTGTCTGTGTATCGACAAAAACAATTTAATGGGAAAGATAGTGAATCACATTATGCATATGTAACGGGTAATAGATACAGATGAAATTCTTGCTAAAATATGTTTTGTAATTACTATGTGATGAATGGTTTTTGGCGCCCCTACTGGTTGCCTATAAATAGAAAGCTAAACCGTAAATTAGACGCAGTCTGTTCAGCGCTCTACTGTGTATGCGGAGAGCTGGTGAACCAGTAGTGGAGCTCACTGTGCTAATTTGTGTTGACCATTTATTACAGAAAATTCAACCAACTGGCCTCCTTTGTGTGTATGACGGGACGGGCATAAGGGGAAGCCGTTACACATAACAAAACGTACATACAACAAGCTGTGGAGCTTGTTTTAACCTACTAGCTATTGCTTGGATTAATGCCACAAAATAATTATACATATTAACTTATTGAATTTTTGGAGTACAAACTTCTTATCGCACTCTGACATAAAAACAATCTAATTAACGGATTACTTTTAAAAAACCTGTTAATTATTGTTAAGAATTAAAAAGAGGAATAACTTGATTTAGCTCGTTAATTAATTCTTAGTCCCGAATTCCTGTGTCTGTGTAAGTGTGCAGAGAGAAAAGAGCAATCGTACGACGTCAGACTTCAGATATTCAGAGTTTTATCCAGAGAAAATCAATGCAAGAAGAATGTTACAATAATCATCTCACCTAGAACATCAAAAGTCCAAGACATTACAGAACAGAGACAAAGAACTGAGTAAAAAAGACAGAAGATGCATCCTCCGGGAAACTCTACTCAGCACAAAGAGATTCCAACTTCTGCTGTAAACCAAATCATTTTATAGAATGCGTAATCTCATCATTTAAATATATGCATTAGGAGGTGTGTTCTTTTCCTTTGTGTGGGCTGTCTTAATGTTAATTTTATTACCTCCTGCTCAAGAGCCCCAAAGGCAGATATATGGCCCGGCTCTTTTCGTACCTGCCGCTGTCCAGTTTGATATAGAGTGCAGCTGCAGCGCTATCTTCCCAAGCTGTTTTTCACAAAAAAATCGTTTGTATTTAACCAAGCTTGCACACAATGTAATGCTAAATAATGACTATAAGTTTGGATCTAATAAGTAACTATTTAAAAACATGCTTAAAGAAATATAGTTAATTCTAATATAAATAAAATTATTTATAAAAAGTTTTAAGATCCTAGTGAACTTTTGAACCATGCTCAGGAATTTGTTAATTGCCTGGCATATAGGCTCCTTATCTCAAGAGATCCAAGGAGTCTAGGCCTATGTTTCTGTTTCTTCTGTCTGATCTCCTTTTAAGAATTTATCTGCGTTTCAGAGATTGAGCCGTTGTTTTTAGTTTCATCTAAATTTATATGAACCTAGAGTGTACTTTAACTTTCTATGTTATATTTTATATGTGTCAAAGCTATCCTGTGCAGTATTGTGCTAACTTAAAATTCTATGTCAACAATATGCTATAACAAGGTTAGCACGATTTGACGGTTAACCTGCAGCTAGCTCATGTTGCTAAAACAACGAACTATGTACATAACACCACAAGATCAAAAAGCATTCAAAACGAAGGAGTCTAAACAAAATCAAAAAGGCGAACCTACCTTTTACTGACTCTTAACGCAGTAGCAAAGGTTGGACCTTGGATTTAAGATCATATTTAACTGGGAGTTGGAGCACGCTGTTATTCTAAGGAGAATTGTATCCAACTGCTCCGGTATCTCATAATTATGACTTTGAAAGTCGAAATTATGACTTTGAATCTCATAATTATGACTTTAAATCTCAAAATTATGACTTTGAAAGTTGATTATGACTTTGAATCTCATAATTATGACTTTGAATCTCAAAATTATGACTTAGAAAGTCGAAATTATGACTTTGAATCTCATAATTATGACTTTGAATCTCAAAATTATGACTTAGAAAGTCGAAATTATGACTTTGAATCTCATAATTATGACTTTGAATCTCAAAATTATGACTTTGAAAGTCGAAATTATGACTTTGAATCTCATAATTATGACTTTAAATCTCAAAATTATGACTTTGAAAGTTGATATTATGACTTTGAATCTCATAATTATGACTTTGAATCTCAAAATTATGACTTAGAAAGTCGAAATTATGACTTTGAATCTCATAATTATGACTTTGAATCTCAAAATTATGACTTTGAAAGTCGATATTATGACTTTGAATCTCATAATTATGACTTTGAAAGTCGAAATTATGACTTTGAATCTCATAATTATGACTTTGAATCTAATAATTATGACTTTGAAAGTCGAAATTATGACTTTGAATCTCATAATTATGACTTCGAATCTCATAATTATGACTCTTAATCTCATAATTATGACTTTGAATCTCATAATTATGACTCTGAATCTCATAATTATGACTTTGAATCTCATAATTATGACTGAATCTCATAATTATGACTCTGAATCTCATAATTATGACTCTGAATCTCATAATTATGACTTTGAATCTCATGATTATGACTTTGAATCTCATAATTATGACTTTGAATGTCATAATTATGACTCTGAATCTCATAATTATGACTCTGAATCTCATAATTATGACTGAATCTCATGATTATGACTTTGAATTTCATAATTGACTTTGAAAGTCAAAATTATGACTTTGAATCTCATAATTATGACTTTGAAAGTCGAAATTATGACTTTGAATCTCATAATTATGACTTTGAATCTCATAATTATGACTTTGAAAGTCGAAATTATGACTTTGAATCTAATAATTATGACTTTGAAAGTCGAAATTATGACTTTGAATCTCATAATTATGACTCTTAATCTCATAATTATGACTCTTAATCTCCCAAACCATAAAAAAAACAAAAAACAGATGATATCCTTTTTGGGGTTGACTAACTATTGTCGAAACTGGGTGCCTAATTATGCAGAAATTGTGGCAGCTCTGAATAAATTAATGTATAAAATTTTTTTAAAATGTCTTCTTTGTTGTGGGCAGATGAAGCAGAAGAAGCACTTTGCAAACTAAAACAGACCCTCCTGTCAAGCGCTGCGTTAGCGTTACCAGATTATCAATACGAAACCTTTTGTTCAGATGGTGGATTGTAAAGGTCATGTCATAACCTCGGTGCTAGTCCAACAGCATATTTTTCTTCAAAACTTGATAGTGTAGCATGTGCCTTACCACATTGTGTGAGAGCTGTAGTTGCTGCTTCTATGGCAGTAGAAGTTAGTGCTCCTATAGTTCTTTTTCACCCATTAACATTAAAAGTAACGCATGCAGAATTATTAAAAGAATTATTATAAGTCATGCACCTACTAAAACAGCTAGCAATCTGTAAATGTGCGGCGCACACTGCAGGGACAGATAAGGTGTCCCTAGGGAATGCTTTCGAAGACAAAATAATTTTTAAAAAGCAGCTGAGGGAGAGATAAATGTATTACATGTGGATGAAAAAATAAAATTTTTGAAAGAAACTTTAAGAGACATGCAACAATTAAGTCCTCAAAATGAAAAGGATTTATGGATAAAAAAATGGAGCAAAATTGGAAAATTATATGAAACTAAACCTATTTTACCAAGAAAAAAAAAATCTGTATAAATGGGCTGCAATATTGAGCCATGGCGTTTTGCATGTCTCAACAGGGGGGATGGTAGGATACATCGACATTACACTACTTATGGATTTATTTCTTATTTTAAAAATTTCTGTAGGGCCTGTTTGATATGTGCTACACATAACTCTCAGGGCAATCTAAGACCACGTAGAGGAAAATTTCCTACTCTGCAATATCCATTTCAAGTAATGCACATGGACTTCATAGAATTGAATAAAAGTGAAGGACAAAAGTATTGTTTAGTAATAATTGATGCTTTTCTAAATGGATTGAACTTTTCACTAAAAACCCAGATGCAGCGGAAAAGCCAACTTGGATACATTTAACACACTGCAAAAAGTAATTTAATTTCAAAAGTAATTGGGAAGCAAGCTCAGGACGCTCACCGACCTACAGGGGAAAGTCCAGGTTACAAAGGGGGTTAAACCAAATAGTTTTTCCGTCTCAAAACTGGTGAAGTTTGTCCACACCCTGTAGTGTCTTTAGGAGCAGACAGACTTGCACATTAATGAAAATAACAAGCGAATATATCTTTTTGTTTTAATTTTGTGTTGTCATCTGGGAACAATTCATGTCATAAATGAAAATGTATTTCTTGTAGCACTGTTTACAGAATGAGGATGGGTATTCAGGTATGTTTTCCACCTAGTTCTATTATCATTTTTTTAGTCTCCTGGGCAAGTATGACATCAGTAAACTACAGAGATTAAACTTGATATATGACAAATGATGTTTTAACATCGGACTGTTCTCTCTGTGAACAATGAATTTAACCTTGTCTTTCGTGCAGATGTCTGGTGGTGGTGCAGTGGTGACAAAACTTTTAATAGATTACCTAGGAAGGTAACAGGGATGTGTGCATTAATTTCTTTGTTATTGCCTGTTTGCGTTTATCCTGTGACTGCTGATCATTTAATTCATGCTTTAACTAATGTTGTACCTCAGCAGTGGCGTCAGTTGCAGAAGCGAGACCTGACCTGGTGGAATAATGATCCTACATACATCGATGCCATTGGTGTCCCCCGTGGTGTACCAGATGAGTATAAATTGGCCGACCAAACTGCAGCAGAATTTGAGTCCACAATTTGTTGGTGGTGCACATTAAACAAAAACGTTGACAGAATCAATTACATCCATTACAATGTACAAAAACTGGGCAACTGGACACAAGCAGGCTTCGAGGCGGTGCACGAGCAGCTGGCCGCTACATCACTGATGGCTTTCCAGAACCGTATTGCACTTGACATGGTGCTGGCTGAACGAGGGGGAGTGTGTGCAATCTTTGGTGAAAGATGCTGCACTTTTCTACCCAACAACACAGCGGCTGATGGCAGCCTGACGAAGGCCATTGAGGGGCTCCGTACCCTTAATGGTAAGCTGAAGGAGTTCTCTGGAGTGAATACTTCCAGGTGGGACGACTGGATGAATGTTTTTGGAAAGAGCCAAACCCTTGTGTCCTCTGCTTTAGTGTCGATGGCTGTCTTTGCTGCCATTCTAACCTTGTGTGGATGCTGTTGTATTCCTTGCCTGCATTCTTTGTTTAATCGTCTCATCACTACAACAATTTAGCCCATGGGGAACCAGATGATGCCGATGTATCCCTTATTGGCGAGAGAACCTGAGTCTAACAGAGAAAGCTCTGATGAGGACTCTTTTGATGTGTATCCTGATTCTAAGTTTTGGACTGAGTATAAACTTTGAGTGTAAACATGTTTGCTTTCTTAAAAATGAACTCCTAGTTGAAAATCGTTTGGAGTGGCTGTTTAGGAGGGATATGAGAATTAGAACAAATATTTGATAAACAGGGGGAAATGTTGGAGAAATTGTGATATTATTAATCAATTATTTGTTATTCTCATTGATCTTTATAATGTATCTTTATTTTATGCTTTCCTTTAAGTTAATCTCATTATAGAATTAAGAATGTTTCTTGTACTGTTCATTTACTCTGATTCCTTTCTCAGAAGGCCTCACTGACAGAGAGCAGAAACAAAATCTTCCTGCAGGTTTACCTCTTGGTGAAGAGCTCTGCTTCGGTTGAATAAAACCATCATTGCTAAGATCACTACATATTTTATTAATCTTTGTGCCTGGAAGGAGATTATCTAGTACAGAATGATTGTGTGTTAGTTAGTGAATAACATTTGACGCTGTAGCTGTTTGCCCCTCCCTTTAGAGCTACAGCGTCCTTGTGATTAGGGATCCTAGAAACAATAAATTAGAGGAGCAGACAAAATATGCTGTAGGAGATTGTAAGTGAAGCACATCTCTGTCCGTTCTCCTCGCGAGTGAAAAAGAATCTAACTCTTTTGTCTTTTCTGCCTTTGTTAATGTATGTTTAACAGGTGTTAACCCTAACACAAATGAACTAAACAGTATAAAAATCATCACTATGTATACCACAATCTCACACAACAGTACTTTCTTAAGGACACAGAAGACTGTAGTTCCAATTCAGCTTTAAACAAAATTTTCCACAAATTGCTCAAAAGAAAGTGCACAAAGACAGAGTTACATGTGACTATTACAATATATCTTTACTCAAGAGGAAGTGAAAAGCCATCCCAAAACTTACTTAATAAAAAAAAATAGTTAAAATGCCTCCTAGGTACATAACCCAAGTGTCATAAATAAATTCTGGTTAAAGTAAAACAAAAACTCAACAGCAACTTTGAGGCCTGGCTCCACTTTTATCAAGAGATTGGTGAAAAGTTATCAATCTCTTGATAACTTTTCATCCTCTATGCCTCTAATCCATATTGACTTAATATGAAACTGATAGCTCTGTGTCCCATGAAAAAGTTTGTTAAAGTTCATGGAGAACTCTAACAAAAAGTCACAAATGCTCAAAAATGACCCTTTGATCTAAAGTGGCCGACTTCCTTATGGGTTTAGAGAATACCTCCAAAGACATTATGTTCTAGTTTTAACTACGTCCAACATTTTAGCTCTTTACGTTTCACTAGTTGGCCTATTTCAAGTATGGAGGTTGCTGTAGAGCCATTAGGTTATGCCCTTTTCCGATTCCATTAAAATAAATTTCAGGTGGAGGAATATTTTGGGTAGTATTAGTATATTTTTCAGATCTCGGCGCGGTCTCGCACATTAATTGGGGCAAACTAATAAATAAACGTTCTGTTCAAAAACAACATACAGCTACAGCGTGCCACACAGCTTTCAAATCGGTAATGAACAGTGACTCTGTCCAAACCTGCACAGCTTAAGATGTGAGTCCACTTCATTTAAATGAATGGAACTGTGATCTGTTGGATATGTCTAACTTTAGCAACACTTTAAATGTAATGTTCTGTGTTACATTTCATTCTTTGCACGTTGTTTTCTTTCCTAGTATCTCTGGCAACAATATTCATCATGTTTGGTATTGTTGCAATTATAATAAAATAATTTTGAATGAAATAAGCATATTATACACAGCAATGCTAAGAATATCATAAACATAAAAAAACATTTTGCTGAGGTACATTATTTGTTTTGAAATGATCTCAAATTGGCAGGTTACTGATGAATCCTGTTTCAATATTTTAATTGATTGTCAGCCATATTTAAAACATCAAACAAATATTGATGGGTTTTTGAAAGGCAATAAATAACTATTTGAAATGCTCCACATGTAAAAGAAAATGTACTTTTATCATGCAAATGATAACAAGTAGATAATATTTCAGATTTACAAAGAGAAATAGATTTTCCAGTTGCACATTAAATTTGAACACAAACTGAACAAAAATAACTCTGAGTAACAGAGAGATGGTTTTGCCACACTGTTAATATTTCTACTGAACTAAAGTCCAGCACCTCAGTATTCAGGAACTTAACACTGAATACAATAAGCTGTTTCTAAGGACGAGGAGTGACCCATTGCAGTTTTCACGCTGACTGCTGATTACGATATTTAAAATCCTGACCTGCCAATTCTGATACTGATTTATTTATTTATTTTTTAATTTTATCTGAAATGTTAATGAATATAGTGAGAAAGTTGTTGAGTCGGCAGCAAAGTGGGTGTGGGGCTGATTATTGGTGAACGCAAAAATGCAGACGTGACCTGGTGGGCGGGGCTGACAGTCAAACCTCTCATGGCAGAGCAAAAGAGGACAGTGGCTGATTTTTAGACCTTCATTGATCAGATCGGTAGATAATATTGGCTTCATATGTAAATATCGGCCGATCTGGCAAAATGAAGAACAATGGACTACACCACTACAGACTTACATTTATTTACTCTTATGAAAAGGCGAACTCATGACAACATTCAGTCCAATCTTGATAACACCAGAATATTGCTTATGAGTAACAGTATCTGAAAACAACCTTTACAGGTGGGCAGCGTTGGGCTGTTGGGCAGAGAGCTGTGGGTCAGCCTGGCTGGAGAGCCGCTGCTTACAGAGCCTGAGCCAATCAGCTTCCTGCAGGCCAGAACCAGCAGTTCCCGACATTGTTTATGACAGTTAACACCACAGTCTGCAAGGCAAAACATTTCCTGGCTCAAATCATCCCTGCAGTATTCAAGCAGCATCAATAAAAAATAATATATAGAGAATAATTATAGCTACTGCTAATAAATTTGGTGTCAAAAAAAGAGAGGAAATGTAAAAAAGTGAATTCATATCCATGACAGTCACTCTTAGAATAAAGCAGCAGACGCACCTTTGCACTTGTATCCCTGCTTGATGATTCCCCAGAGCTGCACACACGGAAGGAGAAAAAGATGGAAATGTTACATAATGGAGAGAAAACAGACACAATCACAGCAGTCTACTGGGCTTCATGCCAACCTCTGGGAGTCCAGAACAGGTGTCAGAAAACACAAGTGGACTGGCAAGCTGCTTAGGACCAACAGGCCACCAGGGGGCCCAGAAGAACATCTAATTTCTTACACAAAGTGTAGTACTCCCAAATTCCAACCTGCAGCTACATTTCTTATTTGACTTTAACATTTCTCTTGGTCATTTATGGAGAAAATGAAAAACTCTCTAATGTAGGATCCAGAGAACTCACAAATATGTCAAACTTTTGTCATAATGTGACGGATTCCATCCATCCATCCTCAGACCCTGTTAATAAGATGATCAGCTTTCATCTCCACAGTTTTTGCCCTTTTTACAGAATCACTGATGAGCAGAACTGCAGTGATTATTGTGTGCATGTGATTCAGTCTGCCACCTGCTGGACGCCAGAGGTCCTGCTTCTGCCTTCTGGTGGTTCACACTTCCCTTCAAGCAACATGTGTGAACAAACACAGCTAGAATCTGGACTTAGAAGAGAACCTACCTGTCATCACCTGCTCCACCTTTCTTACATTTTTACAAGCTGTTCATTTTTAACCCGGTTTTCTGTAATTTAGTCATTCCAAAGTAAAAGATGACATTATGTTTGAACACATTCAGCATGTTTGGTTTCAATAAACATAATTCACTTGTGTTGAAATACATACAAATCCAGCACAATGTTCACAGAAGGTTGGCTTCAGATAGGTCATCTCCTGAAAGTTGTGAATGAATCCTGGTCCCATCTTACACTGGAGCAGAGGGTTGGCCCGGAGGAAATACGCCACCATCTCATCCTTGCTGATCAATCCGTCTCTGAGGAAGACATGCAGAGGAAGATGAGGAGGAGGAAACAGGAGCATCAGCTCAGCTGGAAATCTTTTAGTCATGGACAAAGTTTATGGCAGTGATGCAAATGTGTTTGGCTTTTAAATTGATAAATATTCATTGTTTTGGGGACAGGGAGTATTTTTTTCTGCTTGCTTCTTTTTGATGGTTTTAATGCTGATTGGCACACAAATAACTCTAAAAGTCCAGGTTGCTGTGGCAACTGGTGAACCTCAAAAACAACACACAGACTGGACGGAGGAAAGGACCCGACTAGACGTGACCAGACGGGGACCTGACCAGAAACAAGGGACACAGGTGGGTTAAATGTGTTTGGCTTTTAAATTGATAAATATTCATTGTTTTGGGGACAGGGAGTCTTTTTTTCTGCTTGCTTCCTTTTGCTTCTTTAGATCAATGCAGAGTTGTATGATTTTTGTTTCACACTGAAAGAAAATGCAGGAATCAATACAATCTAAGCAGCATAAAAATAGAGGCAACACATCCCACAATCTAGCAGCCAAGCAATTGCATAAAATAACCTTATGACCTTTCAAATGCTCCTCTCTGGTGATTTTTTTGATGTTTTTAATGTTGCTCCAGTGTAAGGGGAAACTCTATTTATGACATAGTGATATAAATAAATTGGTGTGAATTCAGGACAAATCAATAATTTGATGAACACATCAGGATGGAGGAAGTATGGGTCGGTTTGGAAGCTAGCAATTTCCAACTTTTGTAAATATCACCGTCTATGATCCCCAATCAGGTTTGTTACGTTCACAGACAAGTTATCTCCACTCCAACAAGAAGAAGCCACCAAGAAACTGGTAAAAACAACTTGGATAAATAACTGAAGTCACTCTGTTCAGTTCTCCCATCCTTCACTGCCGACGTCCGTCATGGCGCCTCCAATGATGAAGTCAAGCAGTTGCAAAGGGTTAATAGTTTCAATCATGCAGAACTGATCTGACTGTTGCTATAGCAACGATCAGAAGCAAGACATTGTCCAGAACTACAGTGAGCTCATTGTAGCTATGACCTCATCAATGACTTAGATCTATGACATAGTTCTATGTCATAGATCTAAGAACCTCTGAGGCTATAAAAACTTGCATCTCAAAACCTCAGCTTTCAGTTGCAATTCTGTTTAGCCATGTCTTTGGATCTGAAAGCGATTGGAACGACATTTTTCTTTCCTGTGTCTTTTGGGCTTGGTTATTTGGCCAGCACAGCCATCAGGAAAACATTGAATGTTATCCTGCCAAACCTACAATTTGGAATGCCATCTAAGGATGAGGACCTGGATGTCTTTGATTCCTTCCTCTTCAATCCTTCTCCGGCTGGAGAAGAGAGTGACGGATAGACTTCCCTACCAGGAAGAGTGGCCGGATGATTTTAACGCTTTTCTCTTCAATCCTTCTCCGGCTGGAGAGGATTGCTCAGAGGATAATCTTCCCTCTGCACAATGGATGGATGATTATGATGTGATAGATGCCTATCTTTTCAGCCTTCACCACCTGCGACGCAAACTTCTCGGCTGGAGAAGTTTGCGTCGCTTCAACCAAAGATGAAGCAAAATCAACAGTGTGGAAGAGACTCCTCAGCTAGGAGTCTCTGAACTAAAAACAAGGAAAAGCCGGAAGAGCCGACGTCTGCAACAAAAGAGGACGTAAAAGACATCGGCGTGGAAGAGACTCCTCAGCCAGGAGTCTCTGAACTAAACAAGGAAAAGCCGGAAGAGCGACGTCTGTAACAAAAGAGGACGTAAAAGACATCGGCGTGGAAGAGACTCCTCAGCCAGGAGTCTCTGAACTAAACAAAGAAAAGCCGGAAGAGCCGACATCAACAAAGGAGGACGTAAAAGACATCGATGTGGAAGATGTAAACAAAGAGAAGCCTAAAGAGCAGAAAGCTTCTCCTCCATCAAAAAGAGCCCTAGAAGATTGGACTCCAAAAGATTCTTTTAGTTTTCTTCCAAAACAAACTTCCCCGGCTGGGGAAGCTTTGAAGATTAGGAGGTTTTCACCTCTACTCCCCCACCCACCTGTGGAAATTTGGGATGATAAGAAGGCAGTGAAGAGAAGTAAGAAGGCATGTTGTCGATTATCTTGACTGCCTGATTTTAAGTATGTAGCATCTTGTTTTTTTCACTTTTCATTTTGATGAAAAGTGAAAAAACTTGCGAAACAGAGGTCTTGGGTTTGAATCCTGGCCTGGGTTCAAACCCAAGACCTCTTGATCTCCATGAGCATGAGTGGGTTCTCTCCGGGTACTCCGGCTTCCTCCCACAGTACAAAAAGATTTTTTAGATAAAAAGTGCGTACATTGGGTTATGCCTTTGTGATTTCTAGGCTGTTTCTCATTCTGTCTAGTTTCTAGTTTGAAGTGTCACTTTGTGTCTGATGAATAAAACTTCAATCCAGCTGAGTTTACCAGTTAGTAAATGATTGCAAACACACATCAAATTTGCCATTTCTCAAAGAAGAATGTCTCAGACAAATTGTTTAATCCCACAAAATCAACATTACTTTGAGTTTGGTGATGAGGAAATGCAAACTGAGGGGATGAAATCCCAATCATCAATTCATTTTTAAAAAGCAAACCTTCCATCTTCCTTGAGCATTACTGCAGACTGTAAGTAAAGCATAGACCAATCGCCACACGTTTTCCACAATCCACCAAATGGTTCATAAATTAGTTAAATTGATTTGCTATGACAGCAAACAGATGCGTCAGTTTTTTTCACACTCACTGATCTTTATCCAAAACACAAAATGAGTCCAGAAATGGGAAATTAGCTGCAATACTCTCAAAGTCTTCTTGTGATATATAGCCATCCTGGTCATAGTCATAATTTCTGAAAACGTAGCTCTGATAGTCGTGAACTGCAGACGAATGGGAATTATTGCCAAGACTCATTTGTATGAATCATTTTCAAAGAGGCTATGCAATGTAGTTTAGCTCTATTTGGATTTTAATGTTACAATCAGTTAAATGAAAGACACAACCAGCTGCTTACTGTAAAATTTTATGCAGGAAGGTTAAAAAAAATAAAAAAACTGGATTCAGCTGAAAATTTAGGAAGCAAAAAACAAAGATATGGGTAAAAAAAAGTAATTTATATGGAAGCCCATTTCCGCCAAGGAAAAATAAGACCAACAGGAAGTCATAATTTCGACTTTCAAAGTCATAATTATGAGATTCAAAGTCATAATTATGAGATTTGAAGTCATAATTATGAGATTCAGAGTCATAATTATAAGATTCAAAGTTATAATTTCGACTTTCAAAGTCATAATTATGAGATTCAAAGTCATAATTATGAGATTTGAAGTCATAATTATGAGATTCAAAGTCATAATTATAAGATTCAGAGTCATAATTATGAGATTCAAAGTCATAATTATGAGATTCAAAGTCATAATCATGAGATTCAGAGTCATAATTATAAGATTCAAAGTTATAATTTCGACTTTCAAAGTCATAATTATGAGATTCAAAGTCATAATTATGAGATTTGAAGTCATAATTATGAGATTCAAAGTCATAATTATAAGATTCAGAGTCATAATTATGAGATTCAAAGTCATAATTATGAGATTCAAAGTCATAATCATGAGATTCAGAGTCATAATTATAAGATTCAAAGTTATATTTTCGACTTTCAAAGTCATAATTATGAGATTCAAAGTCATAATTATGAGATTTGAAGTCATAATTATGAGATTCAAAGTCATAATTATAGATTCAGAGTCATAATTATGAGATTCAAAGTCATAATTATGAGATTCAAAGTCATAATCATGAGATTCAGAGTCATAATTATGAGATCCAGAGTCATAATTATGAGATTCAGTCATAATTATGAGATTCAGTCATAATTATGAGATTCAGAGTCATAATTATGAGATTCAAGTCATAATTATGAGATTCAGTCATAATTATGAGATTCAAGTCAGAATTATGAGATTCAAAGTCATAATTTTGACTTTCAAAGTCAATTATGAATTCAAGTCATAATCATGAGATTCAGTCATAATTATGAGATTCAGAGTCATAATTATGAGATTCAGAGTCATAATTATGAGATTCAAAGTCATAATCATGAGATTCAAGTCATAATTATGAGATTCAGAGTCATAATTATGAGATTCAGAGTCATAATTATGAGATTCAAAGTCATAATCATGAGATTCAAAGTCATAATTATGAGATTCAGAGTCATAATTATGAGATTCAAAGTCATATTTATGAGATTCAAAGTCTTAATTATGAGATTCAGTCATAATTATGAGATTAAGAGTCATAATTATGAGATTCAAAGTCATAATTCGACTTTCAAAGTCATAATTATGAGATTCAAAGTCATAATTATGAGATTCAGAGTCATAATTATGAGATTCAAGTCATAATTATGAGATTCAAAGTCTTAATTATGAGATTCAGTCATAATTATGAGATTAAGAGTCATAATTATGAGATTCAAAGTCATAATTCGACTTTCAAAGTCATAATTATGAGATTCAGAGTCATAATTATGAGATTCAAAGTCATAATTATGAGATTAAGAGTCATAATTATGAGATTAAGAGTCATAATTATGAGATTCAAAGTCATAATTTCAACTTTCAAAGTCATAATTATTAGATTCAAAGTCATAATTATGAGATTCAAAGTCATAATTTCGAATTTCAAAGTCATAATTATGAGATTCAAAGTCATAATTTTGACTTTCAAAGTCAATTATGAAATTCAAAGTCATAATCATGAGATTCAGTCATAATTATGAGATTCAGAGTCATAATTATGAGATTCAGAGTCATAATTATGACATTCAAAGTCATAATTATGAGATTCAAAGTCATAATCATGAGATTCAAAGTCATATTATGAGATTAAGAGTCATAATTTATTAGATTCAAAGTCATAATTATGAGATTCAAAGTCATTTTCGACTTTCAAAGTCATATATTAGATTCAAAGTCATAATTATGAGATTCAAAGTCATAATTTCGACTTTCAAAGTCATAATTTTGAGATTCAAAGTCATAATTATGAGATTAAGAGTCATAATTATGAGATTCAAAGTCATAATTATGAGATTCAAGTCATAATATCAACTTTCAAAGTCATAATTTTGAGATTTAAAGTCATAATTATGAGATTCAAAGTCATAATTTCGACTTTCAAAGTCATAATTTTGAGATTCAAAGTCATAATTATGAGATTCAAAAGTCATAATTTCGACTTTCTAAGTCATAATTTTGAGATTCAAAGTCATAATTATGAGATTCAAAGTCATAATTTCGACTTTCTAAGTCATAATTTTGAGATTCAAAGTCATAATTATGAGATTCAAAGTCATAATATCAACTTTCAAAGTCATAATTTTGAGATTTAAAGTCATAATTATGAGATTCAAAGTCATAATTTCGACTTTCAAAGTCATAATTATGGATACCGGAGCAGTTGGATACAATTCTCCTTAGAATAACAGCGTGCTCCAACTCCCAGTTAAATATGATCTTAAATCCAAGGTCCAACCTTTGCTACTGCGTTAAGAGTCAGTAAAAGGTAGGTTCGCCTTTTGATTTTGTTTAGATTCCTTCGTTTTGAATGCTTTTTGATCGTGTGGTGTTATGTACATCGTTCGTTGTTTTAGCAACATGAGCTAGCTGCAGGTTAACCGTCAAATCGTGCTAACCTTGTTATAGCATATTTAACAGGGTTTTTTAAAAGTAGTCCGTTAATTAGATTGTTTTTATGTCAGAGTGCGATAAGAAGTTTGTACTCCAAAAATTCATAGTTAATATGTATATTATTTTGTGGCATTAATCCAAGCAATAGCTAGTAGGTTAAAACAAGCTCCACAGCTTGTTGTATGTACGTTTTGTTATGTGTAACAGCTTCCCCTTATGCCCGTCCCGTCATACACACAAAGGAGGCCAGTTGGTTGAATTTTCTGTAATAATGGTCAACACAAATTAGCACAGTGAGCTCCACTACTGGTCCACCAGCTCTCCGCATACACAGTAGACGCTGAACAGACTGCGTCTAATTTACGGTTTAGCTTTCTATTTATAGGCAACCAGTAGGGGGCGCCAAAAACCATTCATCACATGGTAATTACAAACATATTTTAGCAAGAATTTCATCTGTATCTATTACCCGTTACATATGCATAATGTGATTCACTATCTTTCCCATTAAATTGTTTTTGTCGATACACAGACAAGTAAAATATGGAAGTACAATATGAATCAGTTTTCAACTGTTTTCGTAGCATTTTCATGTACACTTATGCTAATGCTGGACATCTGCAGCTTTACATTGACAATATTTACAAAAGCAATTTAAAATAAGAAAATTGAAAAACAAAAACTTAAAAATCCCCCAAAATGGGCAGGTCCTGTTGAAAATTTTAACTCCTCAACTTTACTCAACTTTCAGGATACTACAAGAGACAGAGGAGGTTCCTTTCACCTGAACCTAAACCTAACAGAGGTAAGTTGCAACTCTTGTGAAATCCAATTTATTATATTATCTGTTTAAATGAAAATAATTGAGATCAAAACTAATATTCTGATGATGTTCATGCACTTGACTCTTTTATAAAGATGGAAATTTCATTTTAACAATGTTCAACCATTGAAATATTTTAGGGGAAAATGTAATCAGAACTTTCAGACCTAAGCTCTACACTTTACCATTTAGTTGTGGAGACACTGGTAGATTTTTCTTTATTACTTTTATGTAGTTTCTTTATGTATTGGTTTTATTTTTGCAGATCTGTACAGCTGTTTTGTTGTCTATTGTCTTTATTTTAGCAGGAGCTTGAGTCTGAAATACAGTTTCTATCTGTCTTGTAGAGTTGGACAATAAATCAGTTATATGTATCACGATACACACGTGATCGATATCAATAGATAGTAAGTCTGACAGAATATTCAATAGAATATTCTCTGAACTCTGATCCAGAACCACATACCATTCTGGAGGATGCAGGCACAGTCAAGGCTTCTCAACTAGGCCTGTCGCGATAAACGGTAAGTCAAGAAATTGAACGATAAATGAAAACTATCGACGTCATTTCATTTATCGGCTATCGTCTCTGCCTGTATTTTCTCTTTCTATTGATGACGCTGGATGAGAAGCCTCAACTCTGGTGCTATCCACTGACCCCTCCCTTCCTAAAAATGAGGAGGAGGGATTAGTGGACTATTGCATCAGTAGTAAGTGCTCGGATCGCTTTGTATTTCTATTGCTTTAGAGCCCCGTGAGGAGTTAGCAAAGCAAAGAAACAATATCTCAAAGCTCGAAATGGAACCGGTTTCAAAGCCGAATGCAACTGCAGCAGTGTGGGACTATTTCGGATTCAAACCAAATGACCGAGGCGAACCGCTGAACCTTTGCGAGCCGGTATGTCGCATTTGTCATAAAACAGTAGCAACTAAGAGCAACATACACCAACTTGCACGTGCACCTGAAGCACAACCATCCAGCAAAGATTTTAAGGCCGGGGACAAAAAATACAACCGGTGGCCCGTGTCCGTCTTTTTAAGTTCACGACAGTCCACTGTCTTTGAAGCAATTAATCGAGAAATAGCGTACAAAAGGACGGCGCAAAGTGGAACGAGCTCACAGACAGCATAGTTCGTTAATTGCTAAAGAGATGCTCCCATTTAATATAGTTTGAAAAGCCAACATTTCGAAAAATGTTGCAAACATTTGATAGACATTACGAAATCCCCAGAAAACATACAT